CCTGAAAGCACCGGACTGCCGTTTAGTCCTAGTATGGGACTTCTCAGTAGTGCGCATCTAAGACCCTGCAACCAGTAATCAAACCTAGATGCTTTTTAATTATCACCATCTAATGTTAATAATTTATTTTACTTGTTGATTACTTCCTGGTATAAATAACTGTTTTGATTCACTAATGGTGTCTAACGTCAGGTGATCAAGTTTTCCGTCGTTTTAAGTTCGTTTAATTTGAGTTGATGGATTTCTTTCATTAACAAATTATCAATCACTTATCAGTATTTTATAAATTCATTACATAATATGAAATTATTATTTTACAATTCATACAATTCATACCATAGTTAAAATCGTAATAATAAAGAATATCATTAAATTGTTATAATTCTATTGTCTAAATGAATAGATACAGTTTTGCGCCAAGCGCATTAACACCGTTGGATGCCAGCTCAGTGGTCTAATGGTTAAGTGCTCGCGCGCGAAGCCAGTAGGTCCTGGGTTCGAGCCCCGCGTTGTGCGGGACCGTGGATGCGCACTGCTGCGGAGTCCCATACTAGAACGAAATGGCCGTCCAGTGCTTCCAGGTTTTCAATGGTGGTCTAGCTTCAATCGACTCATGATTTCAACCTGTGAAATTTCTAAAACTCTCCCCAAAACCAATTCTGAAAATACAGTTATGTATAAAATAAAAAGATTTCAAATTTATGCAAATTCCTGTCTAGTTCTTAATAACATTAGCTTTTGTGAAATTAAAAGTAGGTGAACTTGACAGACGAATATATTTGTACACATAAACCACATAGATCACCATTGGAAACCTGGAAATACTAGACGACTATTTCGTCCTAATATGAAACTCCTCAATAGTGCGATCCCACAATCCTATACGCAGGATTCGAACTCAAGTCGTTCTGTTTTGCGCATAAACGTTTAACTTCTAAACCAGTGAGTCAGTATCCAACAGTATTGATTTCCAACTCCCATCGATTCATAAATGGTTGTGCAACCATTTAGTGCTTCCAGGTTTTCAATAGTGATCTAGCTTATATTGATTCATGAATTTAATCATTAAAATTACTATACAATCTTCACAATCTCCATTCTGATTACATATTTCACAAGCTTTAATTCATGTATTGTATAACATAGTGTTCTGTATGCTACTCAATTCGTATTAGATCAACTATTCAAATATATTTAATGTATAAAATGTATGTTAATTACGTTATAAAAACATTAAATCATGACTCATAGTTGTTCAAGATCACATCACTCTTATCACATGAATGTTTGTTATGTTTTAGCTAAGTGTATCAAATGGAATTGAGTTTAATCTTAATATTACCAAAACATGCGTAACTTTTGTTTTAAGGATTAGATATATAAAATCTGAACAATTGAATAACATACGTGTGTGTGTGTGTGTGTTTGAAACACTTAATTGATAAAATTAAACCGAAATTATCACGAGTGTATATTGAATGCATACTGATGGCGAAATTTGGGTGTATGTGTGTGTATGAGGGGGGGGAATAAAAAAAGCCTAATATAATTCATTTCATTTTTAGATCTTTCCAGAACATGAATTCAATAAGCATACAATTAGAAATTGATAGAATAATGATATGGTATAATATATTTTTGAAATGATTCAATAGCCGTCATATTTAAGATCTTTAAATAGGAATTTTCTTATTTTATCCTTACAAGTGTTTGCTAAGATTAATTATATGATAGAGATATTAAGTGAAGATAGTAAAAATAAAGGTTTGATAAAGAAAATGGGCATTTCAATATTGGCCCATTTAGTACAAATCGGTCATAATGCCAGTATAAACCAATCAATTATTTATAAGGTCAGTAAATTTTTGTCAAAACTGGTTAGACTTAAAGTCCTTCAAACGGCTAAAGAAACCGGAGCTATGTGTACAGAAGAAATATCTTCAACCACTCCTCTTCCCCTGACCAACATCAAGGTCAATCAATCAATCGTTATCTTAACTATTGAATGACCCAATTTTACTACGACCTTTCGCAGACAATTGTAATTGTCTCTGTTATCTTTATTCATAAATCTTTGTATTATTATTATTATTATTATTATTATTATTATTATTATTATTATTATTATTATTATTATTATTATTATTGATTAAACATCATTAATCTCCCCTATACATGATTAATTCACTTCGCATTCATCCTTCCGTATTACATCTTACATGATCGAATTGTAATTGCACTATTATTTCTCTCTCACTCTATTTCACCCATATTTATTCTGATCATGGATCTTAAAAATTCACTCAACATATACGCAGATTCAAGTTAACATTCTACACGAGTCATATTAACATTAACAATTTTATCAGAATGGGTTTTGTGGAGAGTTTTAGAAATTTCACTGGTTGAAATCATAAGTCAATTGAAGCTAGATCACCATGGAAAACCTGGAAGCACTGAACGGCCATTTCGAATCCCGCAGGGTGCGGGATCGTGGATGCGCACTGCTGAGGAGTCCCATACTGGAACGAAACGGTCGTCCAGTGATTCCAGGTTTTCCATGGTAATCTAGCTTCAACATATTTCAACCTGTGAAATTAACAATTTTATTGTATTTTGTTTATCATAATCCTAAGTTCACATGTATTAAACGGTGTACTTTACCCTTAACCTGGCCATTTTTCGGATTATTAATTTGGATATATAATTCTGGAGTCTGAAGAGAATTTATCGAAACGAATATTCATCGTTCAAATACTAGTCTTTTAATATGACGGCGATCATTAAACGATTTTAAAAAAAGAAGATGTTTATCACTTAATTTTAGAGTATAAAACTAGAAAAATTACAAATAAACACTTATGAACAGATTCAATAAATCGTTCTCTTTCTTACAGTTTGATAATTATTCCTGAAAATGATCTTTATGTTAATCAACTTCGTTTAAACCTGTAGTGGATGGGTCCTGTGTCGAGCCCACATAGGTTATTCTAGCTTCTGGACAAACCAATTTATCCATTCATCTCAAGTTATATTTTAATCTTGTTAATTATTCGCTTATCAACCTTGACTGTTTTTATGTAAGCGTATGTGTGTGCATTTCTTATCTTAATCATCATCGCTTATTTCTGTCTTACTATATAAATATATTCACTCTGAGTTAAATTGAGTTGATTTACTCGATTTTTCTATTACGCAACACTTCGCCTCACTCTCTTCACTTAGTTCCATTATTCACTAACGCCATTCAAGTCGACGATTATATACGAGGATTGGCAACATATATATATTTCAACAGGAATCATTCAATAACAATCATTGATACAATCTAATTGGAATCAAATTCATGGCCACAAAAAAACACCAAGTAATCAAATGTATTGATGCCTAATGAGTTTGAAAATATTATCATAATGATATTAATAAATAAAGGAATATGGTTTTAAAACAGTTAAACTAATCTATTGTGTCATTGAGAATTTAGTGTCACTTTGATAGTTGAAACCTCGGATCATCTTTATTATCCAGTATTTTTTACGTTCTTTCATTACTTACTTACGCCTGTTACTCCTCGTGAAGGAGCATAGGCCGCTCACCAGCATTCTCCATCCAACCCTGTCCTGGGCAATCCTTTCTAGCTCCGTCCAGTTGTAATTCATCGTTTTCATATCTGCTTCTATTATCCGACGCAATGTGTTCTTTGACCTTCCTCTTTTTCGCTTCCCTTCAGGATTCCAAGTTAGGGCTTGCCTCGTGATGCAGTTTGACGATTTGCGTAATGTATGTCCTTTCCATTTCCATCGTCTTTTCCTAATTTCTTCTTCAGCTGGAAGTTGGTTTGTTCTCTCCCACAAAAGGCTATTGCTGATGGTATCCGGCCAATGGATGTTGAGTATCTTGCGTAGACAGCTATTTATAAATACTTGTACTTTCTTGATTGTGGTTGTTGTAGTTCTCCAAGTTTCAGCTCCATATAGTAGAACTGCCTTGACGTTCGTATTGAAGATTCTCACTTTGATATTGGTTGAAAGTTGTTTTGAGTTCCATATGTTCTTTAACTGTAGGAATGCTGTCCTTGCTTTGCCAATCCTTGCCTTTACGTCTGCATATGAGCCTCCTGGTTCATCGATGATGCTTCCCAGATATGTGAAGGGTTCTACATCTTCGAGAGTTTCGCCATCAAGAGAGATTGGATTGTTGTTTTCCGCTTTGAATTTGAGGACTTTGGTTTTCCCTTTGTGTATGCTGAGGCCTACTGATGCAGAGACTGCTGCTACACTGGCTGTCTTCATCTGCATCTGTTCGTGTGTACGTGATAAGAGGGCTGAATTCTCTTTGTTTTAAATTTTTATTTATTATAATATCATTATGACTATTTACTTGAAGATGTATCCCCCGAAACTCTCATTCGAATCTAATGTAACTGAACAAGACACTGACGTGGTCAACTGTTATGTGATTGATGAAGATTTCATTAACATAAAGGCTGATTATCATATCTTTATTATGGAGTCAATCATAAGCAAAGTATGTGTATCACTTTAAAACATATCAGAGTAGTAGAAGTAACAACAGTATTAACGTTGGTAGAAAAGACTAAACATAAACTATCTAGTTCAAGAAGAAAGAACTCAGGATGAAATAATCTAGCGATGCTAATCAGTTAGTAATTTGGAATCAAGCGTTTTTGAGTGGTTCCAAACAAGAACTAAATACCTATCCGTTAGTTTATAATTTCCAACCTTCAACCAGTTGATATAAATTAAAACTGGAATCAAACCTCGAACTATTAGGTCAATATAGTAAATACATTATCATTGAGACAAATGATTTAAAATTCAATCATTCACATTTCAACTTCAGACCTATAGGTACTGGATGTGATCCAGTGTACGATAGTGAATAAAGACTACCTATTCATTGCTCACTATTTTGCAGTTTTCCTTTACACAACCATTCTTTATAATATTAATAATAATAATAATAAGGTTACTTCTTACCAGGATATACTCTATTGATATATTGTTCATTTGTATTATGTTCCATTTCTGAATAAAACAATGATGTTGTATGCTCATGACGATGGTGATGATGATTCATTGTTAAATCAATTGGTTGATTATTATTATTATTATTATTATTATTATTATTATTATTATTATTATTATTATTATTATTATTATTATTATTATTATTATTATTATTATTATTATTATTAGACTGAGTGACATATTCAGGATTCTTTTGTATTGATAATTCATTAAAAATATTTTTCTCTTTAATTGTTTTCTGAATATCTATAAAGTAGTGGAAGGAAAAAAAGAAGGAAGAAAGATCAATACTATATACAAAGAATAATAATAAGTTTATAAAATGATTTTCATACCAGCTATAAAGCTAAATGATTAGTGTGGTTGAATAATTATGTGAATTTCACTGACGATGATGATGTAATTAGAGAAATTAATTTACACTTATTGAAAGTTAAAACGAATGTATGCTGACTTGTGACATTCTCGTCTTTGTTTTAATAATGGAATGTAAAGTTCACAAAGTTTGAGTACAAGCAATAAATACTGAGTTCTTTAAGCTGAACATGTATGACTGCGTTTTTCTCCTAAAGATTTTTCATATATATTGAGGAAATCTCTTAAGTACCTGTAACAATAAAGAACTTTCATTTTTAAAACATCAAGTATTCCGTTTACTAAAATACATTCATTTTTAGCATAAAGAAAATAATAATTCAAGTAGTATTGTCATCTACACATCGTATCCTTGTTAATGTTATACCATTCACTACTTGTTGAACTTGGAAATGAATGGGAAAAGTATAAGAGATGATCAGTTTGTGGAATAGAATTTAATGACCTAATGAATTTTTGAAATATAGGCCTATGATGATCATACTACAGTTTTCTGTAATATTTCTTAATAACATTTTGATATACTTTCAAACTCAATGGTCTCGTACTCGTTAAAAGACTTAAAAGTTTTGACTATAATCCAGTGTGTACGCTTTAGACCCAATGTTTTATAATCCCATAAGATGAAATACCTCTTCAATCGTATCTAAATTTTATTTCTTCCATTGATGATGACAGTCTGTCATGAATTTTTTTCCAAATCTAATGTATAATATTTGTGTCGTAAAATACAACTAATGGTTTAAATCATTTACTGTTTACAGCATATTTATGTATAAATAAATAATTGTGTAGTGTGTGCGTGTTCTCACTAAAATACCTCAAATTAATCAACTTAACCACAAAACAGATACACCAATATAAAAAATTACCAGAGACATAATATGCCACTGGAATGATTGACAAGTTAACATAATGATGAATCGGGAAAGCCACAGATGTTTAAATTTTTGTGTGCTTGTGAGATAGAGAGTTATGATGGATGAGGATTATGAGACTAATGTTGAAAAAAAATAGATAGTCGAACTTAATAATATACATAATTAGCTTATTTCTAAGCTTTCTAAGACACTAAATACTTTTTTGTTTGTGTTTTATGACTGTCATAATTGTGATCTGTGCCTTTGTTAAGGTTAAATATTCATTTCATAAGGATGGCGGAATCGCAATTAATTCATGAAAAATAAATAATAGTAGATAAAAACTATCGTTCGGTTTTAAGAAAAAAACACATCGAAGAAAGACTTCTTTCAGTTAAAAAGCTCATTTGATGATTATGAAGTCTGTTGTAGAAAGTTACAGTAGGATACTCATTGGCTTCTATTCTCAGTTAAGTTTGATAACGTCACAAGTCATTTGGCTGTATAATCTCCAGGACAATAAAATCGGAATCATGATGACCCAAAAAGTGCCATTCCTATGTTCCTATTTTTTATTTCACGAATTTATGAACTAAACTAATCACCTCTTCAGTTTTTTTTATCCAGGCCCAAGTAATAATTGATGTGGAAACCACTGGGATTTCTAGTAAAGAATGATTAGTTCTAAATCATTCAATGAAAACTTCCAATTTCAATAAATGTCTAGATTTAATTAAGAATAAAAAGTGGATCTTTTCATTATACGCAATAAATGTTAAAATGGTATATGTTGATCAGAGTTAGATTCAGTCAATATCAATATGCAACTTCTTGTAGGACGAAGAGAGTTCTGCCAGTTTAATCAATCTCACAAATCGGTGATAATAACAAAGACTAGCTAAACTAATAGCCTTGTTCACGGACTAAATATGTATTAAGAAATCAGAACTACTTTTTACCTACGTACAAAATATCCGTCTAAAATGTTATGACTAAGAATTATGCACCAATTTGTATAAACGAGTGAAAATGTAGATCACAAAATAGAATTATGTTTACTCACTAACATTGATTATAACAGAGAGGTTAAGTGTTCGTATGAGAAACAGAAGGTTCGATTCCCGGGTGCAAAGTCGCGAACATTCAATGCTTTCACGATTTCAATGGCTGTCTAACTTGGATTGATTCGTAATTTCAGTGTAATTTAACAAAAATATTACATTTCAGTGAATAGAATAATTATCAAAATCTCTTTTAAAGATAAATTACACTTACTTGTATTGACATTATCAAAATTTTCAACTGGATATAATGTTGAGCTACTCATTGAAGAATGCATTGATAATGATTGACTTATTGGTTCGATCGTCTCTACTTTGAATAAATTCGATGACATATTTAATAGATCCCATTTCCATGAATCATTATTCAAATCACTAAAACATATATCTTGACAGTGAGTGAAATTTGACTCTCGATAATAATTTAATGGATTATTATTATTATTATTATTCATCGTTGAAAATAACATTCCATGTGTTGATTACTGATTTCATACATATAATCTGCATAAAAATTAAGAGGAGAAAAAAAAGGAATGAAAATCATTCGTTGCAATAAAGAAACAAAACAACAGACACCGTGTAACATTTATTCATTCAACTTGAATGTTAACTGAATCATTTCAAATTATTGGTCACCTTTACTATAATAATATTAATAGTAGTAATCAAATGTTCGTTTCACTACATATCATATTGTTGTCTATGAAAATACAAGCATTATATCGTATGTACTGGTGTACTTCTAAAAAAACAAAACAATAAATTATGTCTATATTAATGCAAATTAAATTTTCAATGTTTCATAAAGTCCAATTATAGTCTAAAATGTTTATCACATAAGTTTATCTGTATAGACATAGTAAAATTCATCAATATAAATGGTTATATTCATACAAATCTTGGTAAATTTGTATGGACATTTGTTGAAACTTAAAGAAAGGGAGAAATTATATGTAAAATTCTTTTGTATTTACAATGATCTCAGTAACTGAACTTTAAATAATTCCAACTTTTCAACATGTAATCAAGTTTAAGCTTGTTTAGAGAAACAATACAAAATAAAAATTTCACAGGTTGAAATCATGAGTTAATTGAAGCTGGACCACCATGGAAAACCTGGAAGCACTGGACGGGATCGTGGATGCGCACTGCTGAGGAGTCCCATACTAGGACGAAACGGCCGTCCAGTGCTTCCAGGTTTTCCATGGTGGTCCAGCTTCAATTAACTCATGATTTCAACCTGTGAAATTTGCTAAATTCTCCACAAAACTCATTCTAAAATAAAAATTGTCAAAAATAAATAAAGTAATAAAATTATACTAAACTCTTGTTTAATCATATTTAAATCTTGATATCGATCATGGTAATAATGTAAATCATTTGATATAACGGGGATCATTTTATATGACGGGGATCTTTAAACGATTAAAATCATTTGATTTTAATGTAGTTTTAATGTGATACATAAAGGAGTGTGTGTGTGTATGTATGTGTGTGAATCCATATATTAATAAAAATCCAGTGGATAAATAAATCATAACATGTTAATATAAACTACTCATTATTAACTCAAATATTAATAAGAAATCTACTGGTTCCAGCTTGTTCACTGAGTGCCATAGTAATGCACTCTTTCAACTTATTGTGATCATGGCTCATCTCCTTCATTTCTATTTTCTATATTCCATAATCAACTGATCTTATTTTTTCATGACCATTTTTTTTCATAATCACTAATTAGTTATTATTATAACAGGTAATCATTCGCTTTTCATATTTATCAAATAAACAATTATTTCTGTTTTGCAAATAATATCTTCATTTCAACACTTTTTTTCATTATTATTTTTTGTATCACAAAATGATTTTAGCTAGACCACCATTAAAAACTTGAATGACTGTTTTGTCCTAGTATGAGATTACTCAGTAATGGTTATACGTGACTCCCACCTGAGAGTCGAACAGAGGACCTTTGATCTTGCACGCAAATACTTAGTCCCCAAACCACTGAGACAACATCCAATAGCATTGATGTCAATCAATACATGATATTTTCCATTACCAGTCACATATTTACATAACTTTCTTTCTATATTTAATGATAACAAACAATTTATTCATTATTTCTTAATATTCGTCAAGGTCACAGTTATCTTTCATCTGTTATTATTATTATTGTTATTATTATTATTATTAGCTTTATTCAATATTATATTTTTGGTACAGTATAGAATTCTCAGCGTAAAGTATTTCAACAAGTTTCCGTTTCTTTCTTCTTGGTCGGTCGTGGCGATAAATATTGAGTGATCGCCAGTTAGATGTTAGCAGTTCAGTAAATGAACATCTGAATAATGTGCATTCTTCTCGTAGTATATTGCCAGCAACCACATTCTCTTATTGAGTTTTTTGTAACTTTGACGACGAAAGGTTGTACACTTTTCAGAAACTCAACAGAATAGGTTATGAGACGAATAAACATAATGATATATTAAAACAAACAAAAATAGATAACTTGTTGAAATATCTAGATGGGAGGAACAGGCAGCCCAGATGCTCCGGCAGGCCGCCCTTTATGTTCACTTTGATCTGTTACATAATCTATTCCAATTATTGAAAATATTTTTATTCACTATTCTATTTGATACAGTATGCTTATATTTTATTACAAACTTATGTATTCTTGCTAACAATGAATACGATCGTACAGCGTGAGTACATGATACGGTTGAAAATGGAAATATTTTTCACTGAATTGTCTTTATTTCTTTTTAAAATGTTGATTAATTTGATAGTTTGAGAAAATTTGAATATTAAAAAAAATATCGGTTTCACAGTAGTATAGCATCTCTTGACAAGATGTGGATGTATGTATAGGCCATTGAAATCATCTACGTAATGTATAACAGTCAAAATAATTGACTATTTAAATTCTATCATAAAACAAGAGTATCAATCTATGATTTCAAGTTTCTGGAAATCATTTTCTATGTAGTACTATAAAAAGAAGAACAAATTATTCCATTAATAAAATTGTAAACTATTTGTTGATATTTCAGATTCGAATCCATCAGGTAACATCAGTTCCCTCAAGATCCTAAGTGAGTCATGCTAACGAGTGGCAATCAGCATAGAACTAAGTTTATGTAAGGTATTTTACCAACTACTTCCAACAACCAACATCTGTTAATGAACTTTAATTCAGTCTTTGAATGATGTCATTTTTTTCCCGTGACCTTAAAGGTGCTAGTTTTAAATCTGTTTAAAGTAACAGGTGGATACTTGTAAAGTTTCTTTAAACTAGAAGAAAATATTCAGTTAATGCTACCATTATAAGCAACAGTCATGTAACTAACGTGATATTTCAAAATAAATGAAAATTTCAGGGTAGACAAAAAAATATCTTAATAATGAAATTAATTAACCTATGACATTAATGTTCATTGCTTAAGAATTAATTCACGGGAGTAACTGTCTAAACGAAAAACGGTTATCTCCCCCCCAAACCCTCATCCACTGTTACCACCAACACTATTGGAAAAGAAGAAGAAGAAACATGTAACAAAATGGAAATAATGTAATTCGATTATTCATTCGTTTCTGTTCACCTTTTTTTATAGTAGTTGTTGTTGTTGTTATAATCAGTTTCCCTCAGTGTACTTAATGGAACAGTGACACTTAGAATTAGGTTTCAACCTAATATCATTCAAATAAGACAGTAACAAAAATAATTTGTATTGTTACTATCAATATTATTATTATTATGGCTCTATCCAATGTTATATGATAACTGAGTGGCAATAATAACGGCAATATTGACCTCGATGTTGTCCATATGAAAGTAAATTATTATTATTATTATTATTCATTAACCTTTGATCTTACATTTGCTATATATCAGTGACACCTGCATATCCATAATTGATTATTATTATTATTTTTATTAGTATGATGGAGTTTGTGAATATTGTGGAATTTTCTTAGTTTTAAATAGCAAACTGATCTTGAATGGACCAACGTTGAAACAAAAAAGCACTAGGCAAATGTTTTTTACCTCGGCATCGGACTTCCCAACAGTGAGCATCAACGATCCCACTAGCAGTCGAGCCCAGGAACTTCGGTCTCGCATCCAAACTCCCAATGTCTTGACCACTGAGTCGAAATCCAGTGATATATATGTCTAACTTCAACCTATTCATAAAGGTCCTGTGCCCAATCATTGGTGGGATGCGTACTACTGAATAGTTCCATACTAGGAAGGAATGGCTGTCCAGTGTTCCAGGTCTTCACTGAATGTCTAGCTAAAATCATTTCATGATTTAAACTTTGAAAACTTTACAATCTCAATAAATCCCTTCATATTAATCTTATTTGATTATTATGGTTAAACATAAGTACATTGATCATGGGGTTGTTTTTGTCTACTTCAAATAATTCTTTTTCAATATTGAGGATGTGTAAAGTTTTGTCGAATTTTTTTTTAGATTTATACCACAAAGTGATTAAAGTTATAAATATAAACAATTAGATGTCAACTCAGTGATCCCTAAATGCTAAGCGTTTTCTATGAGACCTAAAAGTTATAGGTTTGATCTATTATGAGGTTTAAATGAAGAATACTTAGGAGCCTTATACTAGGACGAAACGACTCCACAATATTTCTTGGTTTTCAGCGATTGTCTTGCTAAAATCAGTTGATAGTGCAGAACAATAAAGTTTTTATGTTTATGTTGAAGAAGGCCTATATATACGCACACACAAAGTAAGATAAGTTAATAATGACTCTAGTTTCTTTCGCATTATTGTACCGTTAAATTATTATATTAGACAAAGTAGTTTTAAAGATGATTTCCTGTATACTTTAAGGATCATTTCGTATAGCTTAAGAGTCATTGAAAATCAGTAACATGATTTTTCTTCATTTTTATACTTATATAGCACTTTCTAAACTCTTCAAAAGGATTGAAACGGGAACTGAAAGCGTAACCATCACTGGATGGTTGTTTCGTCCTAGCATGGGATAAACTAGCTTCCAGCTGAAGAGGAAATTATAAAAAGACGTTGGAAGTGGACAGGATATACATTACGGAAATCGCGAAACGGTATCATGAGGCAAGCCCTAACTTGAAATCTTGAAGGGAAACGGAAAAGAGAAAGGTCAAAGAACACACTGAGCCAAGAATTGGAAGCAGACATGAAAAGGATGAATGGCAAATGAAAACAACTGGAAATAATTGCTCAGGGCAGGGTTGGATGGAGAGTGATGATGGGTGGCCTATGCTCCTCCACGAGGGGTAAGAGGCGTAAGTAAATAAGTAGGTTTCAAGTTAAAAGCCTTACTTCATTTAGGTCAGTCCCAATAACTAGACTTTATTGTTGGACCTCATGTTATTTATACCTTCAACCACATTATATAAATATGTACTTAATAAGTGAGTTAGAACTTTTCACTTCAAACAGAAATAATGAC